TCTTCATTTTCATTTCTGAAATCTTTCCTTATTCACATTTCTTTCCAATTTTCTTGGATTATATTGAAGCTTACCTAAAAAGACTTGGCAAACTATTCACAGCTCAACTGGCAAAAAGCAAACAACAAGGTCTCATAAAGTATTTAGCACATCAAGTTATATCATAAATATATTTAATAGGTAGTTGATTTCTTTGTTTCGTAGACTGGACATATACTCTATCTAACTAAGCACGTCGGATTTCGCCAGAAAACAAAGTTTCAGTTGTACAGCTTGCGTAGTCACAAAGTTTTAGTGCGATAGCCAACAGTGGACTAGGTATAAGTACCTCAGTCCAAGCAAAGCCTTTGGTGAAGTTTTAAATCTAGCTCTGCGTTTCCTTTTATCTAGCACTTCAGACTACGCCAGGAAACAAAGTTTCAGTCTTATAACTTGTATAGCTATTAAGTTATGCTGCAAGACAAAATCAAGGACTGGGTACAAGTGCAGTAATCTAAAAATTGCTTTTGCGGAATTTTTAAAGCTGTTTTTGTAACTCATTTTATTCAACACGTCAAATAACGCCAGAAAAAAAGGTTTCAGTTTTATAGCTTGCAAAGTTAAAACCTTGTAGTGCTATACCTAAAAGAGGACTGGGTACCAGTACCCAGTCTAAAAATAGCTTTTGGGGGCATTTTGAAGCTTGATATGTATTTCATCTTACTCAGCATATCTGATTGTGTACTTGTACCAAACTTGATGCTATTATTATAACATGCACAATTTTACTGCTCTGCGCCTGTACTATAAAGAAACTTGAGATAGCAAGTTGTTTGACAAAACGAAAAGTTTCAACAGCCATAACTTTTTGCTTATAGGTCAGATCACATTGCTCTTTTTATACCTTTTGCTCAGTTTTGCAAGCTCTTTCTGATTATATCATCGGATTAGAAAAATTTGAAATTCAAAATTTTGCTGACGTGCATTTTTCATTGTTCAGGAAACGCAACTTCCGGTCATTTGCCAGAATGTTCCCAAGGCTTTTCCTCTTATGATCATTGGTTTTTACTCTTATGATTTAAACTTTGAAAATTTAAACTGTCCAAACCACTAAAGTGCAAACAGTGGACATTCAAAGTCTGGTTTCCATTAAATCGCAAAATGTTGCAAAGTGTCGTAGCGTGTCGCAGAATTTTCGTTTGCTACACTCTGCGACAGGACCTTCCATGGGTCGCAGAATGTTGCAGAATTTGGTGCCATAATTCAGTGACAATAAGGCGGGAAATTTGGAAACAGGTTTCCTGGATGAATTGGCTTCTAATTTTATTACTTTATCCTTTTTGTGTAGAAAAAGAAAGAAGCGAAAATTTTGGATCAGAAAATGTTTGAAAAGCCAAACATGCATGGAATATTTCAAACTTTAGTGCAGGAGCTTCGATTTCATGACAGGGAAATTTTTTTCAGTTGCCATGTTTTCATGCCATGTTTTTTCGTTGAAGGTCACCATTTTAAAAGGTATGTTAATCCTACTGCTGCAACAACATCATGTGACTCTTTCGTTCTAGGTGTTTCCATTAATCCCAGAGTGTCGCAGAGTGTCGAAGAATGTCGCAGAATGTCGCAGAGTGTCGCAGAGATAGAAATATCTCTGCGACACTGATCGCAGATTGTTGCAGAGTGTCGCAGTATTTTTAGTACTGCAGTTTCCATTCGTCGCAAAGAGTTGCAGAACAAAACTTCTGCAACATTCTGCGACATTCTGTGACACTCTGCGACACTCTTGAATTAATGGAAACACATAGAGCAAAAAAGTATTAGCTCTCCTTTGCAACGGAAAGTAAAGTCTGCACGCAGGCTACATCAGATGCTGTTGTAAAGGGGCCGCATGTACGCAAAGCTTTGTTTTCAGCTTTCAATCAATGCAATTTCAATAACCAGGAAAAGGTCGTGGTATTAAAGTATTTTCCTCAATTTTGCCTTTCTAAGCAGCATGAAGGCAAGACTCCCTGAGCATTAGAAACTATGAGATGATTTCTATGGAAGGCTGGCCGGTTTTAAAATTCTCTTTTTACATATGCCAAAAATAACGTTCGCCCAAGAAAGCTTGTCCTCTGGCTCACACCAAGCAACCAAGAACCATACCAGCACTAACTTTCTGTTCATAGTTAGCGAGTTGAATGAAAAAGAGGGTTTCTCCAAAAGGTCTCGGGGGCTTGAGAATCGAAAAATCATTTGGTTTTCTTGCAAGTAGAACATAACATTCTAAAAATAGCTCTGTTCCAACAATGCTAACTTTTATGGCAATATTGTAACCCGATTAAAAATGTGCAATGGACATAATTTCGAAAGATTTTCTAAGAAATGAGACAATTATGAAGTCTTTTTATCTATAGTTTTAAACATGTAGAAAGTTGGCTTTCCGGATTGTACTGTTAGACTTTGCGTACAGTTGTCAAATTTCTTCTTCTAATGACCATCGATGCCTCAAAATATTTGATTTTTCGCAATATCACAAGGGGAGATGAAGCGGAAAAGCAAAAATACACTTCGTTATTTGTCCGTAAAATAGAAACTGTAACCTTTCTCATGCAGACATTTTTATTAAACGAATGATGCCTTTTATTTGTTACTGCAATCTAGAAACGATTTTAGTCCAAATCAATGAAACAGTTCCTTGCCGTTAAAATTTGTTAATGTGTTGTTTTCGAGATCAGCTCATCAAGATTCGAGAAGCAAGGTGAGTTCGATAAAGGAAACAGCGTAGGCAGTGATTGAAATTATGAATTTTATCAGCAGTGTGATCAGAGGTGCAGCCCCTCTCCCAAATTCGATGTGCATAAAAAAAGTATTTTGACCTAGGAAATCAACATAAAAGGCCGCGCAAAGACAACGATCAGGTTACTCGGAAAGTTTACAACACTGCAAATGCTCAATTTCAGTTACTGAGTTTAGTGATTTATTCAATTAGCTTGAATTCTCTAAGAAAATATGTAACGATGAATGGCACAAAAAATATGTTTAAGCTACTCAACTCTCCCCGAAAAATGAGCATTTCCGACAAAAAGGCGTGGTCTTGCTTTTTTCTAATAGCAAATGTTTTGCACTCCCCGCCGCCCTTGGTCGGCATGGAAAGCCTAACCGCCATTTGCGGGACTGATAAAATAAAAGATAAGATTGTATAAGACAATATATTGCGAGCGCGCGACAAATTTTCTAGTCTGGGCAAATTCCAATGAAATGAAACGGCATTATTAAAAGGTCTGGTTGTCTAAACAACATGAAATTTTCGGCACAAACTAATTTCAACACGAAGTTTCCAATTTCATTATTAATTTAAAATGAAGAAGTACCAGACGGATTACAAATCCGTAATTGTAAAAGGAAGACAAAACGTTTGGCGGCTCTGCAGGTAAATCTCAACTTGAAACGTCGACAATAATTATATAAAAGAAGGCGGGAGCCTTAGCTTTCACTGATTCAAATGAAGAGATTGGTTTCCCAAAATCATGTTACTGGAAGCATTCATGCTTGAAAGTAATTTGATAATTAAAAGAATGTTCAAAATCCTGCTTTAATTGATAATGGGGCGGATGAAATATTTTTTTTGCCGGGAAAATCCAGTTTTCGGGGTCCGCTACAGGCATGCCGGAGCCGGGTTGAGGGGCTTGGGGGTGTAGTCCTATCAATTTTTTGTTGAAGTATGAAATTATTTTTATGGCAAGGGAGCAAGTACACATTGACTATTGTGGTCCACTACCATCTGGGATATTGTGGTCTACTACTACTTGTTAGTTGTTGCGGACAGACATTCACAATTTCCAGAAGTTGCTATTGTCCAGTCGACATAAGCTTCATCACTGTTGAATCAATTAGACGAATTTTTGCAATACATTGGATACCTGAGTCAATTGTTACTGACAATGGACCTCTATTTAACAGTGAGGATTTCAGTTGATATGTGAAAGCTCTAGCAGTTAAACACCATTGCATCACGCCTAACTGGTCCCAAGCAAACGGAGAGGTAGGGAAATTCAACCAACCGTTGATCAAACAATTTGGGCTGCCATCGTAGAAGAAAAGACTGGAGACAAGAACTTCATCGATTTCGTCTTCAATATTGTATAACTCCGCGTAGCACAACAAAGATACCATCATGCGAGTTATTTTTTAACAGGTAAATACGCGGAAAACTACCAGCTATTGACAGAAACCACATCTTGGACAAACACCAACAAGCGCGCCAGAATGAGACAAAGACTCAAGACTATCAAAAACAATATATGGACGCAAGAAGACATGCAAAGGAACGCAACATATCAGAAGGTACAAAGACATTGGACTCGGGATGGCACCAGAGTAACATGCCACCTAAAGTTCATTTGCAGCTCACAGAGTCCTTTGCAACTTCTTGCCTTTGCAACTTCTCACAGAGTCGTTTGACCGGGGCTTTAAACGATTGTGAGAAAATGACTGTAAAGTCCCGGTCAAACAAACCGAACATCGCACTGAGCAATACTCAACATTTGCAAATCTTGCTCAGCCTTGCTCAGCGCGCTGCTCAATACAGGGTCAGGTCAAGCCTCCGCAACAAAAAAACTAAATTTCCCGCAAAATTTTTGGCCTTCTTTATGTTGTCAAAATGGCGAGCTTAACGGTTTTAGTGAGCACAATACCAACGAAAACTTTCTAGGTATTCTTGGTGCAAAACGTACCGCACAAGTTAGCCAAGCGCGAGTTTAGCAAAGTTCAGTTGGGTGGTCAAACGAACTGAACTTTTCACTGAGCAGACGTGTTGAGCGTTGCTCAGTGAAATGTTCAGTTCGTTTGACCGGGGCTTAAAGAGGTTCTCCAAGTATATTCTAAGCTAATCAAAAGGGTGTGTCCTTTGCTATGTATGTTACATAATTTAATGCACCAACTTTTCCTCCCAGTAAAACTTCCTATCGTTTGGTCTTCATAACCTTTGTTTTGTTACCGAATTACAAAGTTTAAATCTGAAATATGATGGATTGACTACTCACCGAATCTTCAACTTGACCAGAGGCAGCAACAACGAGCATCAAACAGACGATGGTACTCAAATTCAATTTCATCATCACGTACTTCAAATCCAGTTATTTCCTGTGTGTAAGCAACAAAACTTCTGTTCTGGCTCTTTCAGTCGGAGTGTGTGTTTATGCTTGCTTTCACCAATGAGCAGGGACGGATCCAGACTGTCTCGCCGTCCGTAAGTAAGACAGTCAGATTTTCAGACGTGTGTCGAAAAATTGCCTTTTGTTTAATGCAAAGTATCGTTACTTTTATTGGCCTGCGCTCAGTGTCTCAGTCAGTATACGCAATCATATGAAAGTCAAGGATCCATGAAGATGATATCGGGGAGACCGCAGGGATCCAATGTAGTCAGATTCGGGGTGTCCGTTAGGCTGATGGTTTTTTTAAAGTTCGTACAGGCAACAACTCACAAATCAAATTGTGCGATTGTGCGGCATCGGTGAGACGTATGTTGTGTAAATTCATTATGCTGCCTACCACCCCGAAGGAGCTACGTGCAAGACCAGGCATTTTGCATTCAATGTTGTGTGGAAAATTTGTGATCAATATCGTGTTGTGTCTTGAAATAGAGCTTTTGCAAAGAGTGGAAGACCTAATAAATGCAGAGGGCCAGCTGAGTTAAAAAATACAAAACTTGCAAGAATTGAGAGGGTTGTCCCCCACAATTTATTTTTATGAAGAAAAGTTTGCAGCCTCTTTTGTTTCAAAGAAAGACATGTGTTTCTGCAGCCTCCAGTCAATGAGAGGGTAGCAGCGGCGAGGTATTCAAGGCAAATTTATTTCTACAGCCTCCTTATTACAGTCATTCTGAAATTTTTTCACGTTACCCTTTGGTCATATTTCATCAACAAACCAAGCAACTTTTGTTAAATATATTTGTAATAAATAGTTATAAACCAGTTTCACATTACCTAATGAGCCCGAGGCACAGAATAGGAATTAGGCAGAAGGAGAACTCCTGCCTATCAGGTGAAGCCTGAAAAAACTAGCGTATGCGTTACTTTATACGAGGCTTAACATGTATCTGTCGGGGAAATTTTAAAAAAGAATGAAAGTAGACAACTTTATTATGACAAAATAAATGAGACGAAATGCCCCATGATAGTGAACAAATTCAATTATGTATCATAATTCATTTATATCTGAATGATGAATGATAATTTGTCATGGTTAAGTTTCTCTAATGAAATCGAGGTTAAAGGGGAATTAAGGAATTCTATTGTTGACTCAGGCTTCAAAAACAACAAAGGAACCGACGAGAGTTACCCTTCGCCTATTTCCTATTCTGTGCCCGAGGCGTCACTTCGAAAGCGAGGTTAACGATGATACTCTCGCCGCACTTGGAAGAAAATGGAAAGTGCGTCGAAGTTGCAGAAGCTTGCAATTCTTAACCATGTATGCAATGCAACAGTTTTTTAAATTGATTTCCGAAGTACAGTCCGCGAACAGCTTTGAAGATCAGGCTTCTTTCACGGTCAAGGAACAACAGTTGATATTGTTATCTAATAGAGAAATGATGTCTGAAGCGAAGGCCGATCTAACTCTAACGTTTGCTTTGTTGCCGTGCTCTTCAAGCCAGTTCAAGACATTTTTCGACAATTATTCAGCCGACTTCTTCCTCTGTAATTTACAAAACTTTCTCGGCATTTGAGCTTATCTTTAGTTCAAGATGTAGCCGTTGGTTTCTAAATTGAAAAATGGGTCTAGCCTAGCTAGGCCTCCATTTAAGTTTTTTCTCTTTAAATCAAAACCTTCAAAGCAAAACCATATTGTATCGACAAATAATGCCTACAAGAAACTCAAAACCTTTCAGTTCTTCCACGAATATTTCATTTTAAACATTTTTTGTTGCAATATATAATGTTTGCTGCATATTTTGACACCTTGGTATTGGGGTTCCAATGTCAACCACACGGTTAGCATATGCCCTTGTCCAAGTTTAAATGATGATTACTTTTAGTTTAACAATATCACCTAGCAAAATTTCACTCTCCCCATTTGTTATTCTATACAAATAACAAATATTATTATGTTTGGCAAGCCCCATTTAAGACTCAATGGTGTGACATTTTGCTGCTGTATGTAGGGTTGGTGCTTTAGGGGTGGCTCTGGGAGGTATGATACCCTGAAGAGTCATGAATTTTCTATTTGCTTGGCAAATTTGGCATTATTTACTGCTCACTTGCAAAATTCAGTGGCTGGAATAACTTGAACACTGTCTGGATCCAGACACCCCGAGTGGAACAATTCTAGGATTGTTATAAGATATATATGATAAAGAAAAGACGACATCTAGAGTGTTTTCTGATTATTATACAACACATGATGATAAATATTAACTGGTTTCTTATCCTGTGTAATATCCTTGATGATTGCATTAAGCATAAAAACTCAGGGTTGCTTCTTAGAAACATCCTTTCACAAAAATAGTGGTATATATAATACAAATACAGTTGCACTTCAAGTTTATCTGTGTACAAAATTCAAAGCTGTTAGAAGGAAATATTTTACATATTACAGAAAAGGCTGATGAACTTTAATTAAGAAAAACTTGATTCAGTAAAATTGCTCAGTACCATCAAAACTGAATCTATCTACTATTCGGGGTCATCTATAAAGTATGTATGCAGTTTTAGAGCAACTTTTTGAACCCCCTCCCTCCTTGTACACACATCTACGCTTTATGTGTACCCCCCCTTTGCGTACACTGCGTATGCTTATATCTTTTTTACCCCCCCCCTCCCGTTTCAAGGTATAATGCAAATAATTGAGAGTTTCCAGGGAAAGTCAGGGATTTGTCCATTTATTTAATCATGTGAAGCACATCGGAGCAGATTCTTCAACATTGAGCCTACATAGTTTTTATCGGAAATTCAACAAACAGAGAAGATTTTAGAAAGGATGAAAATATGCAACAAACTTCCCATTAAAATCTCTGCCATATGAACCACGAATGAGCATGCTTACCAGGCTCAAATTTCACGTTTAGGAATATTTTAAGGTACGTACTAAATACCCATTACACCCCATCCCCCTTCGTACGCAAGCGTATGATTTTTGGTCGACTCCCCCTCCCCCTGAGTGCGTACGTACTTTATGGATGACCCCTTCAGATTGCTAAACATCTGACCATATCAGTATTGTCAAATATATTGTTGTGTTTAGAAAGAACAGTTTACAAACAAAATAATAGGAAAATGTATTCATCACTCAAATATTTTTGGTAACAGCAAACAGCAAATATTTAGTTGGACATAAGATATAAACTGAGGGGTGACACTCCAAACACTCCAGTAGGGTGGGAGCTCCCCTTTTTAAGAAACGAAGGAAAAGTGTCCATTTGCAGCTTTGTGGCTTGCATTTGCAGATTGCTCCATGTGCCTGTGCTCTCCATTGTAATCCTCATTGAAAGATACATTCCAAATGAAATGAGGATTAATTAATTGCTGTATTTTTTGTTTCGATGAAAAAAATATCAAAGAAGTTCTTTGGCAATAAAATTTACTAGGAAAACAGGGTGCCAAGAAGAAAATAATTACCCATAACAACAGGCTTTGCAAAAGAGTGGATTGGAGGCTCTTTTTACCCATATTTCAAATATTTTTTGCATGCATTTAGAAATATGATAAACAATATTTTTCAACAAAAACAGAAAACAGAACAAAAGCAAATTTTTATAGAAGAGAGAGTTCACTTCCAGGGCCTAAGACTAATACTTTTTTATCAACTCTTTGTCTTTGAACCACGTTAGGTTAAAGCTTTAAAGAGTAAAGAAAAATCAACCAGGCAAATCTGGGAAGCAAGTATAAAATTCTCAATCGCAGAATCGTAACCGTTGGAAGAATCGGGAAGACTCTTTCATAACAGCGGTACTGGACAACGATTTGCGAAGAAAATAGAAAAAGGTCTGCGACAAAAGTAAAGGAAGTTTTTCCCATTCAGGACGCTGCTTAGCAGATAAAAAATAATGAAAGATAATTTGTCATGGCTAAGTTCGTCTAATGAAATCGAGGTTAAAGGGGAATTAAGGAATTCTATTGTTGATTCAGGCTTCTAAAACAACAAAGGAACTGATGAGAGTTACTCTTCTGCCTATTTCCTATTATGTGATTAAATTCATTTTCACATATTCGGATTTGCCGTGGCATAAAAAAAATATCATTTTCACATTGTTGTTATTCTAGGATAAAGTTTCTTCTAGATAATGGCCTCTAACTTTGGGCAAGAAATTACAGTATGTATAAAAGAACACTCACGTTTGTATTTATTTCATTATTACACATTGAAAACTCCTTATCTTGAAAATGCAAGAAAGTGACATTCAACAGTAAGAGATATGGCGTATTTTGGTTGAAAACCTGCCTCATGTTACTAAATTTATGCAGAGTAAACAACGAATCACTGTGACTAAAGTGTCATCAACTTTCGTCTCAAAGAACTCTTGTATTTGCAGAATTAGTTTCCTAAAGTTACTTTAATCTCATGGTACTTTTTTCAATCTATATTTCTAATAAACCTTATTTGAGATAATGTCACTCATTGTATAGTTATTGAGTATGAAGAGGAATAAATATAATAACTTGCTCAATTAGTGCAGCTTTTCTGTTTTAACTTCTAAAAGGACAGAGTCATAGCCTCCACCAATGAGGGCTGATTTGAACTTATTTTGAATAGGTCTAAAAATGACATGGACAATGGGACATGAGGTGCTGCTGTGCCGAGAAGTTCTGGCTGAAGAGCCTTATCAATTTAAACATGGGTCAAGGAAAAGGGGGGAATGATGGGATAAAATATCTGAAGCCCTAAATGGAATTTAAATGCCAAAATTTACAGTGGACCAAAGAGCTGTACGAGATAGATTTTTAAAGTTAGAGAGGGGGTTTAAACGAAAGGCAAATGAAGAAATGAGGGCAAGTGGGATATCACCAGAGCAAAATGAGTCAGATGATGCAATGGAGGATATTTTGGAAAGGAAAGAGAGTGCAGAGCAGCAGCACGCAAAATTAAATGATGATGAAAGGCAGGCAACAGTGACAGAAAAGGAAATCTCAGAGTCTGTGAGGAAAAGAGCTATGGAAAGTCCTGCAGAAACAAAGCCAAGAGAACATTCTAAAAGGAAAAAGACTCTTTTTAAAAAAGTAATGATACAAGCGAGTATGTGGGTTACCTCAGGGAGAATTATGCAGCTGACACGAAAATGAAAGAGAGTGGAGTTGATTTGGAAAGAAGGAAAGTTGAGATTAAGGAAAAAAAGTTGGATAAAGAAATTGAGTTAAGAAAGAGAGAACTTGAGTTGAGGGAGAGGGAGATAAAATTTAAAGATAAAAACCAAGAATGGAAAGCAAGGGCACAGAACAGTTTGTGGAGAGGGTAAATTTTTTTCAAAATCAACAAAAGTTGATGCAGACACAAACAGAGGGCTTAAACCAGCAACTAAAGGCTATTCTCCAGCAAAATGAGAGAATTTTTAAAATTTTAGAAAAGTCATGGTTTTTACCCCCTTCGTTTTAAAAACGCTTTAAAGACCCTATACCCTTTCACCATCCAACTTTACGGCTGTGGTGTTTAGGTATTTTCAGCTCAATTTTTCATCAAATTTCTAATGATGTATACAAAAATGTTTTTTAACAAAATAATTTTTATTCCTATGGGAGTAGCATTCTGGTACGTTAAATACACAAGCACGAGATTTTTGGGTAGTTCCAATGCCAAATCTTTTCTTTGTTATATAAACTTTCTTTGTGCAAAGTTTCATGATTCTACCCCCAATAGCACAGGGTTTGTGTTTTCTGCACCAGCTCCCCAACTATCACGCAAGGATTTGCTCTTAAAAGAACTCAATTATCAAATAATACGATTATGACCTAGCATCTATATCTGCCAGACTTACAGCTGGCGTCTGCAATATGATCCCCTTGTGTTGCTAGGAGTCAGGAACCGGTTTTATATTCATATTCCGGTGTGCGGTTGTTGTGTCAACTCGTTTATGGCAGACTCGCATAAACAATAACTGGAAGAAGGTCAACTTAATTGCTGGGGTGACCTTATGTCCAGTTGACCTAAAATAATTGCCTTGTATGCAGATCTGCGGTATTTGTGGATGACATGATAGCCCGGCCTCTGACGCCCAAGGTTTCAACAGTCGAAGGCCAAATGGTCTGAAAGGAAAATTTTGATAAAAATCGACATGCTGACAACAAAAACCAGAGTCTTAACGGCCGGAAGAAATGCACACCATCAAAAAGAGCTTGCACAACTGAGCAAAGATAGGAAAAAGGGAAATGTGATCTTACCAATAAGCAAAAACTAATGGCTGTAGAAGCTTTTCGTTTTATTAAACAATTTGCTTTCTGAAGTTTCATGATATTACAGACGCATGGCAGTAGCTTGTGTATGTTATGACAATAGCATGAAGTTTGGTACAAGTACACCATCCGATATGCTGAATAAGATGAAATCTATATCAAGCTTCCAACTTAATGCCCTTGTGCCAACAACAACAGAAATTGGATCGAGATGCATCATTCTTCTTTTCTTTCTTACTAGCCACATTTTTAGCATCTGCCTTTCCTTCTGTGCAGCTAACAGGTTACTTATTAGTAAAGTTCCTTCCCTTATCGATAACTGGCTCCTGCAGTCCCAACAGTCCAAAGTAAACACAATTCAAACGACGAGGGAAACTCGGCGAGGCAGCCGAGTATCATGAGAAGATTTTGATAAAGAATCTGGTTTCTATTTAGGGTGTTCTATGATGCAACAGTTTTTTTTATTTTATTAAAAAGGTATCAAGGCCAAGATGGCCTATGTATAATAATAGCTTTTTCACAATGCTGTGGAGAGATTTGAGAAGAGCCACGAGCCTTTGCCTTAATGCGCATTGGCATATGATGCACTTTTTCTCGTTGATTTGGACAACCAGGATTCAACTGTATAGTCGAAAGGTAGTCCACTTGGCGATATATCAAAATTTATTACCAATTTCGCATTGTGTTGCACAATTTCACCCATCTTTTCCTACTCTATTGTCAACTCAAAATCAAATCTTGCAATGTAAACTGCGTGAAATAAAATTTGCTCTGCAAGCCAGAGTTTACAAACGATATCGAGTTACCGCAATTTTGTGATGTTTTTTATAAAGTGACAGAAATCTCGAAATATAACAAAAGATGGGTTTTATCTTAGGCAATAATTGAACATTAAACTATTTTGTGCTTCCTACGTGCTACTAAACTCTTTTTATTAGAACCAGATAAAAATTCTGCCTTTGCAAGATTTTCTAAAGCTCTAGTGTTCTAAGTGTTTTTTTATTGCAAAAATGATTTTCTTTTACCAAATACTATAAATCATTTCGAATAACACTACATAATGGTTTGGCACGAAAATTTTGTAGCAGGGTTTTTTATTTGATAAAAACTACTATGTTTTTTCAACACTTGAGAAAACTTCCTAAATTTCATTTTAATATACCTTCCGGACCCGGGCATGTTCTGAGAAAGCTGTTCATATTTTTTCCAATCGAGTCTCGATGTTCATATAGCACCTGGTTTTAAAGAAAAATCCGTCTTCGTCTTCTCTTGCTCTGCAAGACAACCATACCGACGAAGGAACCAAGTGGTTTTGCGCTATTACGTCTAGTTATGCTAGAGAATTTCAGCTGCAGGTATGAACGCTACACACCTGTCTTTTTGTCGCAGTCGAACAAACGCTCTTCACGAAAGCCAACAAAGACATTGGCCAAGGCAGGTCCCAGAAAGCTACCCATAGCGATACCTTTTCTTTGTTGGTACATTTTATTGTTAAAGCTGAATACAACTGAACGTGTCGCAGTCCCAATCAGTTCAGTGAAAACCACCACTGGGAATGGTGGGCTATCAAGCTCGCACCGGTACAAAACATCGGCACATTTCATCTTTCTGCACATCTGTATATATTTCCCAGCGTATCACATTATATATACATCCTAGCGTAGTGTTTTGATCTATGTTGTGAAGTTTTTTACACTGTAGAGTGTCAGACAAAATGCTTTATTATGTGAGGCAAAATAGGAAAGGTTGTAAAATCTATTGATAAAAAGTAGTGTTCAACAGCATTATGGTTACCTCGTAAATTAACCACTAATACAATTACAGACGAGATTTTATAAGCTTTTTGTAGTGAACTACACTACGGCCTAAGTCAAAGATCTATATTTGCAATACCAAAATGTACATTATTAACATCGAAATCTAAAAAGAGAAATCTAATTTCTCAAGATTGATCTACTTGATACAGGATTAACGAATTATTTTGTGCCATGCTTCATTTACTTTCTACAACTAGGCAAATAAACTTATTCATTTAACTTTACAATTGTGCTCATAAATTTAATGACACGTTCTGAAATATGGATTTAAACCATATAGCGTCGAGTAAATAAAATCTTTTCTCAATAAATTGTATCAAGTTAACGAATATTCTTTACAATTTTATTTTTACAATGTGTGATAAGATGTCTTCGAAAAAAACCTGTTCTTGAAGAGCACTGGTTCGTTTGATATTGAATCCACAGTAGCATTTAACATTCATCTACTTAAAAATCTTCTTTTGAGAAAGAGAAATCATCAACTCTGTCTAGTTCGGGGACGTATAGTTTGTATCATGTAACTTGACATATTTGAACAAAATTTTTAGGTCCCTTGAAAACTTCTCAAAAACCATTTTTTAATTCGACCAATTTTGTCTGTTCTTTGAGGTAAACAACCTTTCTAGTTCGGACATTCTGCAAATTTTAAAGAAAAGCTGGTAATATGATCACCTCATTTCACTTTGGTATCCTAAGATCGATGCAATTGTATTTTTTCCCGCGTCGCTGATTGGAAATATTTGCCAATTTTATATTCAAAACATTTGGATTTTAGGTGGTCATCGAAATTCTTAGAGACAGTACATGGTGCAAGGTACCTAATCCCATTCAGAATTAAAATGCATGTTATTACTTTTCTATGCATGTTGACTGGGGAAATTAAATTCGATAGTTTATTTCGATATTAAATGAAAGTTTTGGCATGTTAGTTATCATTTAATTTTAGTATTCATTAGATTCTTATTTTAATTAAGTTCCTAGTTATATAACATGCCTGTTTGCTTTGAATAGATGATTTATCGAATATTTCAAGAAAGCAACGTTGCTTTAAAAATTCTTTACTTATGGCAATACAAGATAGTGACCTATATTAACTAGATCGTACTCTTGGCAGTCTAAAGCCTGAACTGAGAACATAGAAAAGAGATAATTTTTTGAAATTATTACCGCCATTTGTCATAACATTTAGACATTTTAGAATGGATAGCAACTGAAAAAATTTACACTGAAGTATGAGGAATGATGCTATTATCTGTTTCCTGCAGACGGAAATTCTGATTTGTCCATTTGGAAAAAAATAAATATAACGAAGGCCTATTACAGTTTTCCTGCTTTTCTGCGCGTAAATCAGTTTTGTCATTTATGAGAAGAATGAGTAATCGAACAATGTAAAAAAAGAAGCTCCAAGACCCTTCCCACACTATTTTCTTGCTGAGAAACTATGATTATTTTTTGCCACCATCCGCGCTTGAGTGGTTTAGCTTTACCGGAGCTTTGTCTGTCATCAGCCTTTAGACTTCTTTATATCATAGAATCAAAGAATGATCTTGCCAAAATCGAGCAAGATTGGATCGTTGGCCTCCTCTTATAAGCATGTCTATGCGCTTGCTTCACCTTGCCATGTTATGATGTTTGTCATCCATTCTACCTCTCTACTCCTTCTTTCGTCTTTCTTTTTCCTTCTGTCTCTCCTTCGATGGAAGCAAGTACGAAGCTGTCACCTCTGCTCTTCAATACTTTCTGATTGTTCTCTTTTGAATTTCTCGCAACATGTTATTAGCTATTTTTGCTCCTACTTGATCTCTTACCCGCTCATTATCACAGAACAAACAATAATTACACTTAAGAGCAATAATTACAAACAAGAGACAAATATTGATAATTGAATACCTTGAATGTCTTAAGCATAACATCTATACGTTCCTAAGAAACCAGTATTGACTACAGAACCGTCAGTTGTAAATTGAACATACATCGAAGGGCCAGTTGAACGATAGGTGGCGCCTGCACGGGAGCCACTCAGTGTTGCAATCAAAGAATAAGAAGTTGAAGGACCGTCCCTGAAACGATAAAATTTGAAAAATCTGAAAGAAAGCCTTCTATTTAGTAACATTTTATTACAATAAAACTTGAATACAGTCTCCGTCTACGTGAAGACGATGCGTTTTTAAATCATTGTAATCTAAATGTTCTAAAATAGATTCTAGAATAGGTTTTCACAGTTATGGGTCCAGTCACAGATTTGTCTTTTCACGTAAAAGGGATAAAGGCGCAAAGAACTGGTTGCCTTTATCCCTTTTAGAAAACGCTAGAGAAGCAATCATGGCCAAGACATAATTTGTTAAGGTCGAATCAGAACTTTTAGGACAATTTAAAGATGCCAAGGAAAGACACGCTATGGTGACGCTTTTAATTATGGTAGACTTGTAAATGGTAGACTTTTAAAATTGCAGTTGCAAAGTGATAACATCAAACAGTTTCAGGTAAAATTTTTCATTGAAAATAGACTTTTGAAATTAGGGATTGTCATGAGGTAGAGAAAAAGTAATGAGACGTAGTTTAAACCTAAACTAGGCTGTAATCAACACATATCTACTAGTAATAAAAAACAACAACTACGCTTCAATGCGCTAATAAGTTTGAACACAATAGCGATGTGATCTTTATTGAATGTCAACACAATACATGCAAATATTTCTAAGGAAGGTGACAATAGGCTAGTTTCACCACATTTTCCCCCAGTAAGGAAAGTTACTCATGGACTTGAAAATCCATATCTGTCAGGTTTCTATCTAAGACGAGTTGACCGACGAAGTTGCTCAACAGGTTCCACCATTTCACACCTAACATTCTCTGTTATTGGAACTTCAACGGTATCTGATTGGCGAGGCTCGATGGCAGTAGCCCTGTTAAGCTGGTCTGAATCGGTTCCATCTTCTGCATTATCTGTGCTCCTTGGGCAAGGTGCAAGATCAGAAAGAGAAACTGACGATTCACGGCCATCTTTAAAGCGAATACAAGCATACGTTGGATTCAGATGAGTCAGCTCAACTTTCTCCACCAAATCATCGTTCTTGTTTGAACGTACAAACCTTCTCAGAAAAACTGGCCCTGGAGATAGCCATGAAGGTAAAGATATTCCTTGACTAGATTTCCTTGGGAAGCTGAAAAATCTGTCATGTGGGGTGGCATTTGTGGCGGTTGAAAGAAGGGATCGGTTTGAATGAAGTGCGCCTGGCAAAACACTCTCCCATTGCCGATCTGGTAGCTTAGCAGAGGCAAAAGCGAGCCTCACAGTTTTCCACACAATACCATTGTATCGCTCTACTTGTGAGTTGCCAGTGGGATGATAAGGAGTGCTGTGGCTGCTGGCAATTCCTCTGCTTCTGAGATAGTTGGTGAGTTCTGCAGACATGAAAGAAGAACCACGATCAGAATGTATGAATTCGGGCATCCCACATAGGGAAAATATCGTTTCCAAGCATGTTATAACAGTTTCAGCTGACATATTAGAGCAAGGAACCACGAACGGGAAACGATAGTATTCATCGATTACTGTGAGAAAGTATTTATTCCTTGATGAAGATGGCAGAGGTCCTTTAAAGTCTATACTAAATCGTTCCATGGGACGTGTTGCCTTTATAAGCTTATTGTTCTGACGCTGATAGAAATTGGGTTTCAGCTCAGCACAAATCCGACAGTTGAGACATACATCTCGCACATCTTGCGTTGAAAATGGCAGGTTCTTGGCTTTCACAAAATGAAGAAGAAGAGTGATACCCGGATGACATAGCCGAGAATGGATTTCATCTAGACTTATCGAAGCAGCAGCACTGTGAGCGCGAGTAAAGGAATCTGGAACGACATTGTTCTTTCCTTCCCGGTATTGAATAGTATAACTGAATTCCGCAAGCTCCATGCGCCAGGATTGTATTTTGCTGTTCTTAATCTTTGATCGTTTCCTATTGTCAAACATGAAGGATACAGATCGTTGGTCTGTTATTAAGATGAATGGCTAACGAGATAGGAAATGGCTCCATTTTCTAACCGCTTCAATGATGGATAGAGCTTCCTTCTCTACCGCAGGGTAACGACGTTCAGCACTGGATAATGTTTTGGACATAAATGCGATAGGTTTCCCATTCTGGTTCAAAGAAGCAGAAATTGCAACATCAGATGCATCACATTCAACAACAAATGGTATATCCTCATCAATTGGAGACAAAGCAACATGAGAAAGTTCGTCCTTCAAGGCATTGAACGATGCAAGAGCGTTTCTGTCAAGTGGGAAAGATACCGTGTCTGCTAATGGACGAATTTTGTCTGAAAACTGTGGAATCCACTTAGAGTAGTATGCGAACATCCCTAGAGCTCTTCGAAAAGATGAGACATTTGAAGGTGGTGGATATTCCTGCAGAGGTCGTAACCGTTCAGGATCTGGTTTAACGCTATCATGACTAATTCGATGACCAAGTATATCAATAACAGGAACCGAGGAAACGGTTTTCGATTCATTGAGGCTTTATTATTAATTAAAATATTTATTATTTATTCAGTGTTTCTTCGTTTGATCATTTGAAGGAAGGCAGCTACGTTTCTGTCGTGGTCGGCTTGATCGTCTCCAGCTACAGTAACATTATCCAGGTAGGGAAATGTATCCATTAAACCTTCTTGTGTAACTAAATTGTCTATGATTCTTTGAAAAGATGGGACTCCATTTGTCACTCCGAACGGTAAGACAACGAATTCGTACAGTTCACCAAGTGCTTCGAAAGCGGTAAACTTTGTCTCAGACTCTCGAAGAGGTATCTGGTGATATGCACTCTTGAGATCAAAGGTCGAAAATACTTTGTACTGTGAAAGCTTATTGATCAGATCATCAATACGTGGAAGTGGATATGCATCTAACTCTGTAAATAAATTCACAGTCTGGGAATAGTCAATGCACATTCTTTTCTTGTGACGTTGTAACTCATCACGCGCAATCATGACCTGTGCTCGCCATGATGAATCACTTCGCTTTATCAAGCCTGCTGCCATTAAGGATGAGATTTGATCTCGAATAAATGCACGATCATCTTTATTAAAGAACCTTGACTTCGTAGCAATAGGTTTCACGTCATTTGTTACGGTCTTAAACGAGGTAGGCGGGTCAACATCAGCTACATTAGCAATCAGTGGCGAAATAGGCTGCTTTGTGTCAAGGGCAGAGACTGTTTTTGGGAAGCTGCTTGAGACAATCAGGTCCTCTTTGTTCCCTCCAAATTGAAAAGTGAGGTTCTTGTGCTGTTTCTGAAAATCATATCCTAGAATAACATCACTGCAAAGGCTCTGTAGAATATCTAGCCTGACATTTTTATATGTATTTCCATTCAGCACTATTTTAACATTACACTGGCCGATTATAGAAGACTCCATTGATGTCATTGCCATCGTTACTTTCTTGTCTGATGGTGTTGCGGGTATTTGCAACCTTTTGAATGCCTTTTCGCTGATAAAGTTTTCAGAGCTGCATGAATCAATTAAAGCTGTTAGGTTAAAAATATCATTGACTTTAACTGGAACTGAAGCATGTCTAAGACCTGAAGGGCAGGCGGCTGTAATCGTGCAGAGTGAAGGCTTATATATGGCATTAACAGTAGCACTCTTCTTTGAGGATTGACAGACTTTAGCAAAATGTCCTTTTTTTTGAGCAGTTATGACAAACAGCGTCACGGGCGGGACATGAAGCTCGGTTAGCATGAAGGAAACCTCCGCAAAAATAGCAGGATTTTCTTGAAGGAGTTTGCTTTTTGATTGCAGCCAACGATTCTCGATTTGGATCAATAGGTAGACTAGCATGATCATCAGACGAAACAGCAGCAACATTAGTGGGTATTAGTTGATGGCTTTGCTGCATGTATAGTTCAGAGTTCTTCTGGGCAGTATGCAGTGTGCGAGCTATTTCATAAGCCCTGTCCAATGATAACTCAAAATTTTCCAGAAGTCTTTGACGAATATAGTTAGATGTAAGCCCATTGATGAAAGAATCCCTTATCATCTCAGATCGGTAGGTTTCAGCTGAGACTGCAGTGAAATCACAATATTTACTTAATTTCTTTAGCTCTTCTAAAAATTCATCAAGAGATTCACCAGGCTTCTGTTTACGAGTAGCAAGTTCGTGGCGAGCAAAAATATTGTTTGGGGTTTTCACATATAATCTTTCAAGAGTAGTAACAACCGCATCATAGGTTGTGCACTCCTCGACATAATCAAAGACATCTGCAGAAATGAAGTTGATAATAGAGCGAAATCTGTCAGGAGCTGCCTCTCCACATTCAGTGATAAAGTTATCGAATGTTCGTTTCCAATGTTTCCATTGTTTTGCAGCATTAGGAGCGTTCGGGTCGACATCCAGTCTTGATGGCTGCAGCGCCTTGCTCATATTGAATTTATGTGTTGATTAGATTGTCATGAGGTAGAGAAAAAGTAATAAGACGTAGTTTAAACCTAAACTAGGCTCTAATCAACACATATCCACTAGTAATAAAAACAACAACTACGCTTCAATGCGCTAATAAGTTTGAACACAATAGCGATGTGTTCTTTATTGAATGTCAACACAATGCATGCAAATATTTCTAAGGAAGGTGACAATAGGCTAGTTTCACCACAACAGCTATGGAAGAAAACATCAAATTTCTAATATTAGCTTTTATAAACACTTGGGAGGGGGCAAGCAAGGGGCCAAAAATTTTTCTGAGCGGGCCATGACCCCCCTTGCCCGCCCCGTAGTAATGCCACTGTTTGCTGGTTACTTACGAAAAGTCCCGAAAATTTTACTTTCTGTAAAGAAACCTTAGCCTGCCATTGATTCACCAGACAGCTCTTAAGACTACAGCCTTGATACGTCACTGAAATTGGTTGTTTGCTACCTCTTCTTATGTCCAGTTTTCTTCAGCCGACTATTGTCTATTTTATGCCAAAAGGTATAGATTTTGTTGTATCTTTTTCAAAGTGGATGCTTAGCTTGTTGTCAACAAACCAATCACAATGGGAAATAAAACCTATTACCCATTTCTGAACACAAGACAGGAGTAATCTGCATAAAAAATCAGGTCACTGCCAACTGCCTATGCTGAAGCACATCACTGACAAAGAAAATGAACGGGCCAAGAATGGAGCCTTGCGGGACTCCACATGTTAATTCTCCAGACAATAAAGAAATTTTTCTTATGTTTACAAAGAAGATTCGGTTTGCTAGGTAAAATCTAAACCAAAATATTACTGAATCGGCAAAGCGAAGGTGAGTCATTTTTTAAGGAAAATTTTGTGATCAATTGTGTCGAAAGCATTTTGCAAATCGATCATTATCATGCCGGTAAACATATTGCTTTGAAATCCTTGTATGATTTTGTCACTTAACTATGACAAGCAAGTATCTGTTGAGTGGTATGGACGAAAGCCGGATTGGTATCAATAAAGAATTTCGTTTGTACCCAGGTATTCTTGTACCTGTTCATGGACAGCCATCTTAAGTATCTTAGAAATTTGCGGTAAAAATGAGATTGGCCTAAAAATTTTGTGGCCATCTTTGCTATCTTTTTTTAAAAGGCGTCTTCAATTTAGCTTGCCTGCAATCATCTGGGAAACGTGAAAGAGAGACGGAAAGATTGCATAGCTCTTTAGTTTGTTTTGCCAAAATTGGGGCGCCCTCCTTAATACATTTTCCTGCCAGGGTGTAAAGTCCCATTACCCTGCTCACTAAAAGAACTCTGAGAACCGGATCGCTTTTTTATGAAACTGCGCAAAGATGCAGGTGATACAGGGAGTGGGAGGGATATTTGAGGAATATGTTGCTTTAAGACGGCTGTTCCGCCTGTTACATGGTTGAACGTAAAATATTCAGGGCTGCAGCTGGAGGTAAATGAACTCAAAACCCATAGATTATTGGGCAGGGGGAGTAGGCTAGGGCCCTGGCATTTCCGAAGCAGAATGGTACCTGAGAGTGTAAAAGCATGACTTGCGCACAGATTTAAATATAATTTTAAATCATAACAAATTCTTATACTCTCGGGCTAGATATACTGACAGAAGTCGGTAAATAGAATAATTTCCAGGATTATACAATTTTTATTGAGAAAAATTTTATTGAGAAGTATATTTAATCTTAACGGCATAAAAAGCTTTCCAAAATTATTGCTAGGTCCTCTAAAACAAAGAGGACTTGGCAAGTCACAATTTTGATCTTCGGAATGTATTGGGAATATACGGCCAATGCTGTCAGAATTACGTTTTCTTCTGCTTTTGCTTCGACACATAGAGACCGATGATAATAATGAGATGGCAGGCATGGATCGTCAAGGAACTGGCGCTTGTCGATGGATAGGTGTTCCAGCATAATTCAAGAAGACCCAAGATAAGTATTCTGGAAAAGGAAAGTTCATAATGTTAATCAGAAAACAGAATAATTGTTCAGAATCGCATTAATCATTGTTTTCAATGAATATTCTGGGGTATAGCTGACATTAAAAAGACACCAGGAAAATGACTTTATCTTGATAATACAAAAAATGGTCCGTCGCGGTGTTCAAGAAAAACACAGTCTTAAATAACGCCAATGGGTTTTATCTTAAAAAAATATATGAATAACAAGAGATACATTATTTAACCAACTAAAAGTAAAAAAAAACTGAAGATAGGACACCAAGAAGCAATAAAAATAACTTACTTGACTGGTGTGATCAAATCTGTCCTCCATAGTAAAAATGGCAAAGTATGGAAATACCACACATAGAATTGGTAATGAAGGGACCTTGAAAAGCACATCCCAATAAAGTTGGAAGCAAATAGAATCTCTAACATACCTTTTTGCAGCTAAGGAAAATTGTCACTTGAAAATAAACCATCTCTAGTAATTTTGAGAGCGAAACAATTTAATGTAGAGCTTGGGATTCTAAAAATACCTGATTTTTGCATAAAATGAAGTGGGAAATAAGTAAATCTGAATAGATTGTATTATACGTTAGTAAGATACAGGATTTGACATGCTGAAGATTAGATATAAAAAACTGCAGTCAGAAGGGCATGAAACACCAGCTTATAATCAGTTATATGTCTTTACGAAACTAAAGTTATCTAGTGTAAAATGAGAGCATCGAGTCACATAATCAAAGGACATAGATCCAAGAGAAAAGAGAAGAAATTATATTGTATAAGGATACTTGTCGCGTCCAGCTTTGTTCCTACAAAGTCTTTTGTCAACAATGAAGACCAACCACTAGCCGGTCTGCCAAAAGACAACAAGATTTCAGCAAAGATCGAGCAAAATTATCGGCAAAATTGAATTACTGATTTCAAAATTCGTTGCTATAAATTCTACCGTGCCTATTACAGTGTCTTTTCCAAATTAACGACTAACAAGAGAGTGCTATCAAGGTGTACCAAGACGAGAGCAAGGCAGATATGTGGAAAATAAAAATGAACAACTCTAAGTTAACGGCAATCGTTGATATTGTTTAGAAATAGAAAAAACTTCAGTTTTTCTGCAATTTATATCTTTATTAACTTGATAAATTTTCTCTTATTTTGCACCGGAACAGTCATCTTAGAATATTTATAAAACCATAAAAAAACTTGCTACAGTTTTTTGAATTTTCGGTTATTAAAAAAAATTGGCAGCTCTACTGGAATTTTGCGGCGGGTGATGCAATACTTTTCGAAGATAAGTGTATAGGGCTAGGCCTCCTGCCGAATGGTAATAAACAACGTTTGCAAAACAGGTCTGTTGATTGGCAAGGAAATTCAGCTTGAAATATAATAGTTGTTTTCTTCAAGGCAAACCTGACCTGATATCCCTCTTCCTGAAAGAATAAAAGCTAACAAATTGCACCGCCTACCTCGGCCACTTCTTAATCCAAAATGTTATCAGAGTTATGATGTGCAGCAGGAGAAGTGCAAAATGAAAGTATCTGTTCAGAAAAAGCCATTCAGGTAAAAATCTCCAGTTGACTGTCCACGTGAAGAAGAACTGTCTTCCAAGGTCGAATGAGCGGGCAACGTAAGCAACAGGATTTGTAAGCAAAAACGGTAGACCAAGAAGAATCTGGAACGCAGAATGATAACAAGATACGCATATTGCAGAAAAGCAGGGCATTTAAGATCGAGCTCGACAAAGCGAGGGAAGCACGAGAAAGGGATGTTATAAACCTTTTGCTATTGTTTCATGTACGTGAATTAACGTTTTTTGCAAAAAGTGGCTAAAGCTCCACAATGCCCCCCTTGCTCCGCGGTGCCTGTCGTCGTGCGTAGTTAACCAATTGTAAAACATAATCTTCTTTTCAAGACCTTGTTAGTTACTCATTTGTGACTCCTTAAAAAAGGCATGATCAGAAACCGTGTGCCACGCTCAAAGAGCTTATAGAAGTAAGTTATAAACAAATCACGTGGAGATGCCTTGAACAGCATCAGGCAGTAAACAGCAGACTTGGAAACTGTAATT